GAGACGCGGCTGAGGACTGGCCGTGCTGGGCTTGAGCCATCGGGAGGCCTTCTCAGACTTGGCGTAGGGAAGCGACGCCAGGCGATTGCCATGAACGGACGGAGAAAACAGGGAGCCATGGTTTTTGTTTGAGCTCACGACAGCTGTTTTTATGTTGGATTTGCTTCATTTTGGTCTTTCGACCAAGCAAGTGAGTGAGCAACTGGTGATTCCAAACCAATAAAACCAGTTCTGTCCAGCTCCTTTCCTTTCTGAAGCCGCACATTTAAAATCACATTCTTCTTGTGACCCTAGTGTTTGTTTTGGTTTCACACTCTAGGTCGGAAACAAGCTTTCCTCGATGGCGCAGTGTTTCTTTTTGGATTCTCGCGTAAACCTTGGCCGGGAACAAGGGTTCCTTGAGGGCCTGGCGCTGTTTTGTTTTGATTCTTGCGCATTACGCGATGGTGTTTTTTTGCTGTGCTTCTCCATCGGCTTCTCAGGCTGATCTATGCGCATGGTGAGGGATTGTGTCTGCTAGTGCTTCGAATGCAAGAAAGGGTGCATTTTAGAAGATGTACTACAGCCCCCCAGCGAACCGAACAGGACGCGCGTCTCACTTCCTCCTTAGAAGTTAGAACCCCCCCGCCCAAAGAAAAAGAGACAAACACAACAGCATTCAAGCGTCTTTCCGGCGCAGGACCAGTGTGCCCAAAACAAAACCGGGTCTTTCGCGCCAAGAACGTTCGGGGCGAGAGGTCCTGGCTACAGTCGAAGGGCTGCCGGGGCTTGGAACTCTTGGACCTCGGCAAGAGCCAAGGCCAGAGCCACCCGAGAAGGGGAGGTTGGGAGGTTGGGAGGTTGGGAGGTTGGGAGGTTGGGAGGTTGGGAGGTTGGGAGGTTGGGAGGTTGGGAGGTTGGGAGGTTGGGAGGTTGGGAGGCTGGGAGGTTGGGAGGTTGGGAGGTTGGGAGGTTGGGAGGTTGGGAGGTTGGGAGGTTGGGAGGTTGGGAGGTTGGGAGGTTGGGAGGTTGGGAGGTTGGGAGGTTGGGAGGTTGGGAGGTTGGGAGGTTGGGAGGTTGGGAGGTTGGGAGGTTGGGAGGTTGGGAGGTTGGGAGGTTGGGAGGACAAGTTGAAAAAGAAAGGAGCCACCGGGGTTTGAGTAGGAAAACCGGTGCTTGAAAGATGGAGCTGGAAAAGCTGGAGCAATAGGGTTTCAATTGAATAATGAAGCAGTGAAACGCAGGAATTTCGGCGCTGCTTTCCATTTGGTTCAGTGTCCTGATTTGCTTGGGCTGTCTTGGGGTTTGGCAGGAGTTTAGCGTCTGCCAGGGTTGCCGCAAGAGCTATCAGATACAAGTAGAGCCAGGGAACAAGACGTGTCTTCTCGGGCAAGCACTGCAAATCGATCAGGTCTGCTTCGGTTGTTCCCTTGCCCGGCATTTGCCCCGTGCAAAGAGAGTACACTGCGGGCATCAAAGCTGGTGAAGCTGTAAGAGCGGCGGTCTGCGTTTTGGTGAGTTTGACGCGGCAACAGTTGCTTTGCATTCTCCAGTGAAAACGCCACAAGCCCCCGGCAAAAAGGGGGCAACCGGCGCCGGTCTGGGTGTCGAATGTCGAGGCGTCTGGCTGAAGCCGCAGCTGAGCGAAGAGCAGCTGACCGCCGTGGCCAAGGGCGGGAAGGTGGTGGAGGCCTGGCGCGGGGCGCTGCAACGTGGAAGCGTTTGAGGAGCCCGAAATGGAAGACGGGACCCGGCTGATATTTAGCTCCGATTGGGGAGAGCTTCGAAATGGCTGGTAGTCTAAACGCCCTATGGTTTAAACCAGTTGCATCGGCGAATTGGGGGGAGCTTCCAAATGGCTGAGGCGGTCTAAACGCCCTATGGTTTCAACAACTGCCCTTTGGGCTTCATTTGGGAGGGGTTGACCCTGTTACATCGGCGAATTGGGGAGCTTCCAAATGGCTGAGGCGGTCTAAACGCCCTATGGTTTCAACAACTGCCCTTTGGGCTTCATTTGGGGGTTTGTTGCTCTGTCGTTGCTCCTTGGGCTGGGCGGGAAAATGTGGGACGGCCGAATATTAAAGCCTGGAAGATGGTGGGTGACTTTTCTCGACCTATTCTGGAAATGTGCATTGAGTCAGGCATGTCACGATATCAACGCCAGTGTTTGGTCAAAGGAATCGAAGGTAAGAATTCTGTACTGCAACTAGGCTTGAGCCACGCAGTTGCAGAGGCATGTATGAGTGGATCTCTGCAAAGCAACAGGGAACAAAGCCAGGAATGCCCCCCGCCACCACAGCCCCCCACCCTTGCCCCCTTGAATGGAGAGAGGAATTGTCGTCGCATTGCCGAAAGAGTACACAGTCGTTCGTGTGCTCGGTCCGTTTAGAAGAACTTTGCTCAACCCCGGCCAGAACTTGACAGGAACCATGCCTCCTTCACAATGCGCAGCAACACGCCATTTCCAAGCACACTTTTTCCATGATGGCTCTTTACACAGCCAGGAGTTCATCCCTAGCAGCTCCTCGCTCTTTCCAACGTGACACAGCGTCCAGCCAGATGCTTTGCAGGTGCCAGCGTCAGCTTGGATCACGGCAGAGGTGGATAGCTCGGCAGACATCGAGGACTGGGATGGCGCAAACCTTATGTGACTCTATGTTGCAGGTCTCATTCTCTTGTGAGATCTTGAGGAGACATTTTCGATTGGACCTCAGCCAGCATTTCTCACTTCAAAATTCAAAGCCGTAGATCCCAGAGACAAAGAAATAGAGATCAGGTCAGGCCGAGATGGAATGTATTCGGAACCATTGGAAAAGATCTGGCATCTGTGGGAACAAGGCTCTGTTCCCATTGGTGCCTTTTCGCCCCAGTTGCCTTTTGCGGCGGAGACCGTGTGGTGTGGTTTCGATTGCAAGGCTTAGACTCCACCTGATGTGCCTGGCAGGAGGCGTTGGCAGCAGAGTTGCTTCACGAGAGGGCCAAAGGCTGGATGCCTCACGCCTCGCGCGCGTCGGTTTTGTCCACATGCCCACCAGCATTTCCAGCTTGTCCAAGTTGCAGTTGTACCGCACCCAAGAACATGGGACTTGAATGAAAGCCCCATCTATGTTTTTTTCCAGAGGGACCTTGCGCTCGCAGTGCTCGCGAAGGCGCCGCACCTCTTGCGGGCTCCCTTTTTGCATGCTCCAGTTTAAGACGTGGTTAAGTGCAATTGAGCAGCGCACAAGATCCCAAGTGGCGACTTTAATAGATGGCTCTACTACTGTACCCCTTTTAATCAAAGGAAGTCCAGCAAGGACTGCGTTAGCTTTCTCCAAGAATGCACCTGCGAATGTCCTTGAAGACTAGACGCACTGCGCGTTAAGAAGCTACGAAAAGGCCGGATAACGCGAGAACTGGGGAATAGAAGCGAGCCGAAAACGTGGCCCTGTGCGTGACTTCGGCTCAGCACGGGCGCAGCTCAGTCGTGACAGCCTGACGGAGGCGGTCGCGGGGCGTCAGAGAGCCCTCTGCACATTATGGGGTCGACCATTCATTTGCTTGTGGCTTACGAATTTCACCTCGCTTGCGCAACCCTCTGCGCACTTTCAGTGGGCCGGCCTTCAAAAACTGCGAAAACGCAAGAGCTGGGGAAGCCGCATTTGAAGCAGGTAGAATTGGGATTTGCCCTGACCATCTGGCGAATCCTCGCCTCAGGGCCCAAGAGCCAGTTCTCGGCCTACGTTGACTTCCTGTGGCGCCGCGCTGCTTGATGTCGAAAGGGCCAGGGAGCGAAACTTTGGCGGTCCTGGTGCCCCTTTGAGCCAGTCTTAGCATCACTTTTGGAACAGATTTAGTTTCTCTCAGTGGGGTAATGCGTAAGAGTCCTTCGGATGTTGCTCGGTCCGCTTGGTTTCTTGCGTTGGCATGGTGGCATGCAGGGAGGGCGTTCTAGTTTGGCCGCCCTTTGCCTCAATGGAGTTGAGGGGTTTGTTTCTAAAAAGGCTGTGAGCTGGGCGTCAAATCTCAGTGTTTGTGCATCCCAAATGCTGAGTGCCTTCTGATTGTCAACAGACTCTTGCTAGACATGTTCCGTTTTCAAGAGTCTATATAATCATGTAAACGGAATGCGGCATGGCCAACATTCCAGGCAGCGACGCACGCACGTGACAGGTCTGATCAAATCCACGAACACGGAAAATAGCTACCAAAAACAACACGGGGGATGTAAAGGCTGGTCCCCATCTCCAATCAACCCGTACCAGGGGTGTTGCCCAGGATCTGTCACACCATCCCATGTTCTGGACGCAGGAGGACTGTTGCGGAGAAAGTGTGACATGTTGTCGGGTGTTCTGCCCGGCAGGGAGGGAGAGAGAGGCAGAGAGCCAGAGAAAGATAAGTGGTGCGCACTGTCGATCAGGTGATGACACATATTGTGATTTTCAGGCTGGCAGTCAGCAGTGCTTACAGGAGGCCAACAAGGTTTGTGGACTCTGGACCTATGGGAAAACGTGTGATGCTGATTTTATACGCAGTGCTCATGACAAGTGGCATTGCCTCATTCCGCTTTGAGGGCTTCTACCTCGCAACCTGCCTTGGCATGCTCGAACACTGACAATTTGCGCAAGTGTCCATGTGTGCTCAAGGCATGTAGAAATACAGCGAGGTGCCAAACGCTGTTATGTTTGGATGCTACTCGTCAAGAGACTTCTTGAAAGCAAGGGAGCTGCAGCACATGCAGCAGGCAGAGACACTGCCACTTTTAGCAGTTGGCGCATACCTTTTCCAGGATCAACACTACTTGCTCATGCAACACCAACCTCTGTTATAAGGACCCAGCTTGCAATGCTCATGCATCCTGGCAACCACTGGTAGTCCCATGTACTCACTGATCGAAGGAGACCAGACGGATGCATTTGTGGGACCCCTAATCAGATTCCAACTGGTTGGAAAGTTGCCTGAGGACACCGAGCTGGTATTCGATTCAAGGCATTCTGTGCGACATTACTTTTTTGGGTCCGCCTTAGCGGGCAGTTTGGGAAGTTCTTCCCAAAGTTTATTTTGGATCGAGGTTAACGTCATTCAAGTCACGTGTTGAAGGGTCGTATTGAGGGTGTTGCTTTAGCAGACGCAGTTACTGTAATGTTGGTGTGTTTGCTACAACAAGACCACTGTAAATGGCAGTTCCTTTTGCCTTTCTTGCAATCACACACCAACTAGAAGTCTATTCCGAAGCCAACAGCGCTCACAGTCAGGGACCGTTGTCGAAGCCTTTCTGGATGAAGAACTCGACTTAGGGCATCATATCCGCCCTATCCACCTACATGGAATCTAGGAGGGCCTTTCAACCTGCACTCTTTTATTTCTTTGACAAAGCCTTCTGGCGGGTTCCATGCTGATGGTCCTCAATAAGAATAATAATGATGATAAACAAACTAATAGTAAACAAGCAAACAACTTGTTTGCCCTGGCCTGATAGTGTACCCATTTTCCAGTGTGTGTGTGTGTGTGTGCGCGTGTTTTTTGGGGGTAGGTCAAGGCAAGGCTTCACAAGCACCGTGAGGAGCTCGCCTGGCTGTCGGCCTGCGGCGACGTGCAGCAGGCCGTGCTTGAGCTGCAGGCGCGCCTCGCAGCTGGTGCGCGGCGCGCGGCGCGCGGCGCGCGGCGCGCGGTTGCTGACAAGGGCCTTCTGAGGTTCGGTCAAAGTTTCAGGCAAACCAATTGCTAAACATTGGGGCAGGTTGTGGGGCTTCAGGTCTTTGGCTAAAACGGGGGTTGCGGACTCTCTCCAAAGCCAGGGGCCTGGCAAATTGTCCTGTTTCCTTGATGGGAACCGCATATTCTCACTGCGGCTCGCGTTGGAGAGAAGAGACATGTTTGCCCTCGTACTGGGCATAAAGGATGTGGCACACCAAGAAGCTTCTTTGACCACCAATCGCTGCTTTCCGGGGTGTGGTGGTTTGGATTAGTGGCTTCCGGCTTCAACGGGTGAGTTTTGTGGGGTGACCTCCATCAACAGCTTCTTGTCAGGATTCCTGACAAGCACCTTTTGTGGAGGTCAGTCAGCAACGGGCTGGAAGGTTGATACTTGTGGTTCCCTGCTCGTTGGCAAAAGCCTTTGGTGACCTCGTCCTGGCACGAAATGACGGCCAATGCCGCTCACCTGACCTCGGAGTGAGCGGGTTTCAGGAGCGCACTCGCCTGCGTGCTGAGAACCTGCGGCGCAGATTCCCAAAGGCACCGGAGGCCGGGAGCGGCGAATGCGGGCGCAGGGTTGTGGGAATGAGGGGCTGGTACTGGTTGGTTCCCCCTTCTTTAATGGAGAAGTTGTTTTTTTGTTGGAACCTAGAAACCAGCTAATTTTGGGATACCCTCATTCTGAGATAAATGAATGTTTTCATTTGGCGAGCCACTTGTCTTTGCGTATGGCGTGGGAGTAAAATGAGCTCGCCCGTGAAGGCCTCTTGTTCCTTCATTCAGGTGGCTGAATTGTAGCAAGCGCAGATGACTCTGGCATCTGTGAAGGGTCCAAGCGATCCAAACGTGTCGTGTTGAGACTGGAGTTGTCTTGGTGTATCTGCGCCTAGAAAGAGCTAGGTCCAAGAGCTCTGTGGGAACCATTCCGAGAGCAGAGAGCAAGCCATTGGTGCATCCTGCGCCGAGTCGCAACCACTCCGAGAAAAAACCGAAGGAGAGTGACCACGGCATGTTTGTCAGAGCAGCTCTAGCAAGAGTTGTGTCAGAAGGCCCGCAGAAGCAAAACTCTGCACGGCGTACGGCGCAGGCACTTAGGGGCCAACAAGTCAAAGGTGCGTTGAGTCACCTTCAGTGTCTTGAGCGCCGCGGACCTTACTGATCTTGTCCTGCGCCTTTTGGGCCTGCCGGTGTGAGACGTGCTGCGTAAGCACCCGCGTAAGCTCTTCGAGATTGCTAGGTAAGCTTTGCAAGCATGCACGGAAGAGTTGTTTCACACATGTGCGAATGTGTTTATTGGTAGGCGCGTCAAAGACTCAGCAGAACGTTTGATGCTCATGCCAGAGTTGAAACCTTTCCCAGGACAAACAAAGGCTTCTGCTATAGGTGATTTAGGAAAAGTAAAGGGGCTCGGGCGCGTATTTCCTTGCGTAAGCAGGCGCGCAAGGTTCGCAGCTCGCCTTCGGCTGCTCGCCAGCCCGCGCCACGGATGCCGCCGCAGCCGTTTCTTGACCAGTAAGAACAACAACGCCAAGCCGCGAAACTCCTGAGGGTAGTCTTTCCCATCTTCTTCCACAGAGTCATCCACGTCATCTTGAACCGTTCTGGCGGCTGCATAAAGGAGCCCGCATTCTTGAGGGAAAAGGCTCAAAACGCCGACGCGTAAGCCACGCGTGAGCTTAACATGCTCGCTGACTGCTGTGTAAGCTGAAACCATGGGTCGCGTAAGGAAAGCGCAAGCTCACGCGTAAGCAACCTGATACCACATACGGATTCATGGGGTATTTATAGAGTCGCTCAGACAGCTTGAGACCGGCTCCCCCAATTTGGCGAACCGAGCAGAACGGCAGAAGATGAGTTCATCAAATTCGCATGTGGGCACAGAGTACACACGCAACACAAGCCTTGCCCCATTCATTATTTTTAATGCATAGGACATACGGTGGCAGTCATCAGCTTCTGGAAGACCAAGAAAACATGGAAAGCCAAAGCCAGCCGACCAGGAGGACCTGTCCTTCGCCCTGTGCTTGGTGGAGTGCCGCGCCATCTCCAGCAGCAGTGGCGGTGCGCTGGTGCCGGTTCTGGACCACCTCCGCTCCTTGGAGCTTTGGATCCAGTTTTCGTGCGGGACTTGCATTCGCCAGCTCTTTTTTCGCTCCTTGCAGTGAGTTTGGATGCAGTGAGTTTTTTCCCGGGTTTTGAGGTGTCCATTGCCCAACTTTTTTGTTGAGAGCCCCTGTGAAATGGGCTGGCCCCAGCATGGGGTTGGCATGCCATTGCAAAAACATCAAGGCACAGGCCTTGAACCTTGTCAGTGTTTGGACAATCACAATTTCCCTGCACTGACAAGCAAACGATTGAACTTCCTTCAGGGATCGAAGACCAACCTAGGTAGCAGCGGATGCCGCATGTTGGGATGATTTTTTTGCCGTTTGCTTTTGCGCCTTCTGATGGGTTGGGGACTTGGCAGGTTTGGCCACGTCCAAAGCCAAGCCCCAAGGCAGTATATATATATATACATATTGGGTCCATGGGGGGGGTACCATAATATATATATATATATGTATATACATGCCATGCTCAAAAGGCCTTCGGACGGTCATGGAGGAGTTCAACCGCCAGAGAACTAAGTAGTAAATAGTAAGAGAAGCGTGACCAGGACCCACACAAGGTGGCACGTATTCCTTAGCTGCTTGGTGGTCCCATTGTCGAGAACTCATGCCTAGGAAATGGAAGACTAAGAACGAGCCCATTGGCCAGTGGTGGCCCGCAGAGTTTCGTCTGATTTTCACCTTCCCTGGTGTCAAGCTTTGACCCCCCTCGTTCCTCTGAAAATTGTTGTCCCACATCACCAAGGTGTGAACCTTTGGAATCTGGCTTAGCTTTCTTGAACTACAGTTGTTGAACCATGGGCCAACAGAAGGGTATTTGTCAAATAGGGGGACCCCAAAATGTGGGGTTCCTTTGCTTTTCCTTCAAACTAACCCTAAGCAGGGTTCGCTAAACAGCACACACACACGCACCCGCACAAGTAGCCCCCAAAACAAAGACACTCGACACCCTTGGCCCTGGCGCACCCTCGCCCAGGCAACGACTCCACGGGCAGCCCCGCGGTGATTGTGGGCGACGAGGGGGTGCAGGGAGGGCCCATGGTGGCCGTGTCGTGCTTTGGCAGAATGGGGTTGCTCAGAATCCGACTTCCAAAATGGGTGCCTTCCCTTTCGGCTTTGTCCTCAAAAGGGGTGCTTCCCCCGAAAAAAGACATAGCAAATCAGCACACATCTGCAAAACAAAAGCGGCAGGTCGTGCCTTCAGCTGTTCGGAGACCTGAGAACGGAAAGCCCCGCTGCTTCAGACCGTGTGTCGCTTTGGTTATTCAGGTGGGCCCTTTGTGTTTTCCCAGTGGCCAATGTGCGCCCTCCGAATAGTAGGTCACTTCGGTTCGCAAACTCAGAAGCGGAAAGGAGCAAAACCTTACCCCAGACCGTCCCAGATGCAGGAAAGAGCCGCCCGGATCGAGATAGCTTTTCAGGGATCCAAACAGCCGGTGAACTGCCAATGGTTTTCATTCCTGAGTTACCGCCAATGAACGAGACTTAAAAGTGACCAGAAAAAGTATAGGATGTCTCAACGGGGAGAGAAGCGTGCTTCACTTGGTAGGTGAATGTATCCGACTCAGGATTTTGGTTGTGGTCGATCGACCTGGGTGCGCCCTCCAACACGAGTCAGGTGCAGTGTCGACTATGCACGCCCCGCTTGGCATTCTGGTGTTGTTGCCAGTCTGAATCCACGTGTTGACTGGGGTGGGCTTGGGCAGGGGTGGGGTGGCGGGGAAGGCTGGGGTGGGATGGGGTTGGGGGGGGGGGGGTAGGACAGGGGTGGGGGTGGCGGGGTGGGGTGAGGGGAATACTCGCGCATATTTTTCCCCATGCGAGATGGGCTCCAAGGCTGCAGGACCTGGATCCCTGCTTCGAGCTTCGGAACTGCTTCGACACCGTCAGCGACCAGGAGCCTCAAGTGCAAGCAGCCAAGACTCTAAGACGCGAACAAGTCAAGCTGGCGAGAGTTCTTAGGGATTCGAGTCCGAAGTCAAGAAACTTGATGCTTGCAGGGCGTGATTTGTTCTCCAAGTGCGGGAGACACAGCGTCGTAATGCTTTAACATGTTAAGCGTGCCGGATTTGTAGCACGGTAGACAGCAGTGTGCAGAGCACCGATTCATTTTCTTGATCCAATAGTGACCTCTTCTAATGCCGCTAGTTTTGCAAGATCCTTCTGTTTGAGGCTGGTCAGCCAGTCAAACTAGTTTGGCTTCGCAGGGCAGGGGACGTTCGATTGTTACTTTGGCGGAAGAATGAGAAGTCAACATGCCTGAAATCAGATATCAATGACAAGCATGATGCATTATGCTAGATCAGGTTGGCCGTGCATTGATATTGTCATGGATCATGATTATAACCCTTTGTCCCGACCACAACCATGATACTCGACTTTGACACACTTGTTGCTACTATATAGTTGTCCTGTTTCTCCGTTTGGACAGCTTGTTGTTGGCATGAAGTCTAACGACAGTCAAGCTGCGCAGGAGCTGTTCACCCAGTATGGTGAGGCCGATCTGTGGAGCGTGACATGGAGAGACAGTTTGGAAGGGTCGCTGATTGTCAAAACTGCGAAATTAACTGTCTTTTGTACTGAACGTTGTGGCAATTTATTCCAAGCACGTTCATGCAACATCTCAGGAATACATGCAATACCCGATTGTTCAGGGTGGGATTGCTTGTCAAACTCGCACCGACGGCCTTTCATTCCCAGCTTCACTCACTGACCTGTTGTTTGTTCTGAGGGCTTCGCATGACTGAAACATAGGCAATGCTAGACCTTTCCAGCAGGTACCATGACCTTCCCCTCTGATTTCGGAGTTGTTGTATTGGCACCTTAGGTGGAAGTGCGTACTTCGCTAGCGCCAGCGCAGTGGGGTCCTCAAACCTGGCAACCGTGCGGGAAAAAGCGGAGTCTGCATCTCTTAAAGCGAGTCGGAGGTGCAAATCAAGGGGGGCGAGGAGGACGTAGTGCCGGAGGCCAACGTCTACAACGAGGCGCGGGGGCTTGGGGACCGAGCCGCGAAAACCCGGGGGGGGGGGGGGGGGATCGTCGGTAGCCAGTAGCTTACTACCATTTGTCCATGCCGGTTTTGGAGAAAGTGTTTCTCTTGACAGCCATGCTGGCAGACCCGTTTTTTTTTTTTTTTTAAATAAAATAAAATATGTTTTTGTTTTTTAATGTGTTTTTTTTTTTTTTTAAATATGGTTCCAGCTTAGCGCCAAAGCCTTCCAAGCAGACGGGCTCACCCAAAGATAGTTTGAGAACATCCCTTTGCTTAAAAGTACTTTGTATTTCCCCTGTCAACTACTGAAAATCTTTTATCCAGGGGGCTTGAGCAAATGGAAGAGAAGGCCCCTGCCTTCTGACATGCAGATTTGAGCAGCCCCAGATCTGAATTCTCTTATGGTATCAACCATTCTTGGCCCATGTTCTTGGCCCATTCTCGGAAACCCTCCTTAGCTTTTCACGAGTTACGAAAAGGACAACGCTTGCCCATTTTAGGAAACGCCCTATCTTGGCCTCGTTGAACAGTTTTTGGGCAGAAACAAGAAGGCCCATTCTAGGAACCACCTCTTCCAACCCGGACCAGCCCTGACTTCCGCTCAAGCTTTGCTTGCCGTTTGAGCACGACGCGCCCGATTCCGGGCGATGGTCTGCTTTGGCCACCGCTGGCATCCGAGCGCCGCATGGATCTCGGAGCTTAGGATTTCCGTTTGGGTCGCCGCATTGCTGGTATGGCAATCTGAGACCTAGTTGCTTTGGCCACGCTTTGGCCAGGTGCTTTGGTCACGGTTGTTGGACAGTCCCAAGAGGGACATCAACTCTTGGCCCGTTTTAGCACCCGCCCCTTTGTTGCAGTCCTTTAAGCTCCTTCTCTCACTTGGGGGCAAGAGCATGGTTGTGTAGGTCCTTAAAATGATAAAGTAGTCATGATAATGACCCATGTTGGTATGGTTTTATACAACAAAACAAAACATCCTATGTGTTTTATTGGAGCAAAGTAGCACTCGCCCAAGGTGTTAAGCACATGTATATGTATATGTATGTGCATAATATATATATATATATATGTATGTATACACCATACGTATATATATATATACATGTCATATCAAGAAACGTATAATCAATTGTCGACAGCCATGAGCAACCACGCCAGGTGCTTTTGCCCGTGCGGGTGCCCGCAGAGCATTGGCGCGAGACCCCAAAGGCAGTGAAGAAGGCGAGAGTGGCATCACTCAAAGAGTTGGCCTTCGATTAAGGGAAAACCTTCCTTGATACAAAGGGAACCTTCTAGCCTTCTGAAGGGAACTTGGGCTTTTGAAGGGAAGCTTCTAGCCTACCTTGTGGCTAGTGAGGATAAAGCCTTCGAGCAAAAGCCCTGTCTTGATTGATATTGAAGAGCAAAACAGGAAAGCGGGTGGCCGCTTTGTTTGAAGGGAAGACAAAAGGATCCAAAAGGAAGGTGGGCCCATTTCCGAATTTGAGACACACCGATACTCCTTTAGGCGTGAGATGTTTTTCAGAAGTCGGATTTTAGATACAGCTTTTAACCCAGCTGCATATATCGGGCAAGTCTCTGAATTTGTGGACCCCCAACACGGGCGTCTTTTTCCTGAAAAGGACCCGCCCCTGCTTGCTGGTATTCCTTGGCATTCAACCACCTTGAATGCCAAGCCGGGCAAAGCGCAACAACGCAACACAACGCGGCGCAACACAGCGCGCCGCAGGGCAGCACGGCCCAGACCAGTGCAGCACAGGACAAACAACGCAACACGACGCAACGCAGCACAAGACGGAGATGCAGACAGAGACAGACGGGGACAGGAGCGCAAGCAGGCAGGTAGGCAGACAGACAGAGATACACAGAGACAGACAGAGAGACTGAAAGGCAGAGAGACAGAGAAAGAGAGAAAGAGAGAGAGAGAGAGAGAAAGCGCAGAGACACTGAGAGACACAGAGAGGCAAAGACAGACAGAGAGAAAGAGAGAGTCACGGAGAGACACAGCGAGACACAGAGAGACACAGAGAGACACAGAGAGACACAGAGAGACACAGAGAGACACAGAGAGACACAGAGGGGCAGAGAGATGGCGAGAGAGAGAGAGAGAGAGAGAGAGAGAGCGAGACAGACAGACGGAAGCAAGCCCAAGCAAGCAAGCCAAGCAAGCACGAGCAAGCACAAGCAAGCACACGCAAGCACAAGCAAGCACAAGCACAAGCGAAGCAAAGCCAAACGAAGCAAAGCAAAGCAAAGCAAGCAAACAAGCACAAGCACGCACAAGCAAGCACAAGCAAGCACAAGCAAGCACAAGCAAGCACGAGCGAGCACAAGCAAGCACAAGCAAGCACAAGCAACCGCCAGCCAGCACACACCCGCATACCCATGAAGTCCAATTGCTGGCGGTGAAGGAGACAACGCCATGTCAAAGACCATGCGCAAGCATGGAACCACGCAATGATACAGTTTCCTGTCATCTTGTCTGGCTTTCAGACCTCGACTCCTGCGAGGCAAAGCTGGGGTTGCTGCAGAGACGCCTGGGCTTGGACCTGGCAGGCGAGGCCCTGCAGGGCTCAGAAACGGGCGGCTTCGCACGGAAGCACTTGAACAAGGGGGGGTGCCCCAGAGGTGAAGATTGATTCGAATAATTCGAACGTAAGACGCCTGGTCCTCCCGAAAGTCAGTTGGGGCATTTTGACCCAAGGGACACTTTTAAACTTGGGACGGCCCTAAATGTGGAACCCCTCAACTGGACTGAAGTTTGCGTTTTCTCTCTGGTATCCCTTTGGCGCAACCCAAGAAAGGGCACTTACATGCAAGGACATATCCATATGGTTTGTTCCCCCCATAGATCTAGAAGTGTTCATTTGTTCAGAAGGGTTTTGCAGAGAGAACCCAAGTCCGCGCTTCCCTCGTTTTTTGTCTGATTCGGAGGCAAAGCGACTTTGCGGCTCCCCATGGACGCCATCTCCGGGGGCCGGTTGCTGCCTTTGGCGCGGTTCGTGCACACCCCGGTACCTGTTCTGGACAGAGAGGCTGCTTGGGAAGTTCGGGTTTTGGGGGAGGGACGGGTGGGGAGGGATGGGGAGGTTCTCTTTGGGGAGTCAGGATGGATATGGTTTTATTCGATTTGTGAGGAAGGGGGAGAGGCATACAGGTGTCATTTCAGACCAGTTTAGTTGAAAATAGTGTGTTTCCACTCGTACTGTTCACAAGGGGCATGATGGACAACTCCTGCCTATTGGATTATTGGATTTGTTTTTAGGGCTTGACTGATCAAGCAAATGGCTGTGGGTCAAACCAATGGTACCATTTTGGGATAGGTGCACCACCCATTTTAGTCGATTTTAGTGGGGATTGGGATGTTCACTGGGGGTACGGGATTTTGACCCATGGCCACAAATCGGTTTGGAAGGCCCCTGATAGACGGACCTCCAAAATTCCGCACAAGCCGGCTGTGCAGGCAAAGTGCGAAGAGCTGATCGACATGCTCTTCAAAGATTGCGGCTTGGATGCGCCAGCGCCTTTTGCCTACCAGTTCAAGCCTTGGCCGAGCTGTTTTCCAGCCCCAAGCCACGTGAAGCCTTTCGAGCCAATTACTCGAACAGCCGGAGGCCGGTTTAAAATGAGCTTCGCGCTTCCGCTGTTTTCTCTTTTGCAGTTGCCAGGGGAACAAAATCCGAAGGGGGAAGGGTTCCCTCAGGCGTAAGGGGATACCCCTGGGCTTCCAACTCAGGCGCCCCACCAACCCCTTCCGGCGGCTTGCCGGACACCAAGGCCACCCCAGCCTGCTGCCCGGCAACGAGGACTCGGCCTGGGGGGTGCAGCCCACCGAGGTGCCGCCGGCGCCGGCCAACCTGGGGCAGCTGAAGGTGGAGGTGCAGGCGGGCAGGGGGGTGGGCTGGGCGGGAGGGAGGGAGGGAGGGAGGGAGGCTCCAAGGATAGAGGCCGCGTGGTGGACTTACTTCTGTTTTTTGTTTTGTTTTTTTTGTGTTGGGAGTTTTGTCCAATCAAATTGGGGTCTTTTGAGGGTACCCGATTCGGACAGTTTTGAAGGAAAGCCACCTGGATGGATTTTGAGAAACACCCGTTTGTCGAAGCCGATGGCTCTTTGCCTTTGAAGGTGTTTTTTGAGGGATTTGACCAAGTCGGGGTCGCGGTTCAAAGCCGTCGGTTTCATGGGCGGGCTCTGTCATGGCAGATGGAAGGATGAAGCATTCATGAGAGATCTGGTCGTGTGAGTGG